TTTTTTTCTTTTTTCTTTTGTTTGGGGGCTTGGTTTTCTGCAAAATTTCAGGTTAAATTACCACATGTTATTTCTCTCATTCCTTGATTTTCTTCTCCTCCCTACCTAATAAAGAGAACGGAGACTGAAGATCCTGACGCAATCCCCATACTGTGTAGTCACACTGTCACAGGTCTAATTCGCTACCGAGGAAATTCTGCCTAAATACCCGCTTTCCAAACTGTCCCTCGGGACATGCCTTGACAGGCGACTCCAGTCGCCCACTTGGGAACGTTGCAGACTATTGAATTCGGGGACTGGGGCTTTGGAGAACTCTTTGACAAAAATGGGGGGAGGGGAAGGGGGGCGTTATCCCATAGTCCGTACGGGGTTACTTGTTGACTTCCTTCTTGTGTGCTTGTAAGCATTTATAATCACGCGCACTTGGTTTAATTGCTTAATTTAAAGTGTGCTATTTTTGGAGGGTGTTTTCGGGAATTGTATGGTTCGGTATTTGGCTTGTTCTTTTTTGGGTTCTTTTTCTTCGTCTCTTCTTTTCTTGGAGATTATAGTTTGCTTTGATTTAATCTAATTTAACGTAATTTTATTAATGTGTTTGGATTTATTTTTAATTCTTACTGCCTTGGTTATTTCACAGATTTTCGAAGATGGTTATGTTTGTAGCCTGGATTTGTTGGGGTTTGGTTTTGGTTTGTTTTTGTGGCTGGTTAGGAGGACCAGGTTTACCCGATTTGGCGAATTGCTCTTCGAAGAGATCTTGTCATGACTTCACTTTGACTTGGATTTGGGAGGGTGCGATCTGGTAAATAACAAGCCAGAACTACCTATTCAGCTATACTATCACTACCGCCAGTATGTCTCTGCCATCGAATTGATATAATCGATCCCCTCCTTCCGCCACGTGTCCGGCTCCATATAGCTTGTGACATTCGCGTCGAACACCAGATCGACCGGCTGGCCCGCCCCATACGCCTGCCAGCGAACCTCGCCATCCTTGATGCCCGAGTTCGGGTCCAAGTCGTGGATGAACGACGCCCACATGCTCGCCATCAATGTGCTCAGCTGGCTGTACGACTCGGGCATCCCTTCGAACGGCTTCCCGTAATGATACCCAAGCCCCTCGATGTTGTTGAACACAAAGGCCACTTCCTCAAAGTGCGCGGCGCCAGACAGATACGGAACGTCTGCCCCTCGCATGTTGAATCGGTAGCAGTAAGCCGGGGTGGTAGTTTCTGTCCAGGCTTCGCATTGTCGTCGTCGATTCGCGTGCATCGAGTAGTCCCCTGCGTAGGCCGATGTACGGCGCCACTGGTAGCCCTGCGAGGGTACCCGCTGGTCACCGAGGAACTCTGGGATTCCCTGTGATGGGTCGTCCGGGTAGAGATCTAGGATCTGGTTTGCTGTAGATGACGGGAGTTTAAAGCCGGATGTTCCGTCTGGTGGTGTGGAGGCTATTTAGTACATACATACATGACCAAGAGAAAGAGGCTAGAAGTAATTCAGAATACTAACCGGTGAGGTATGCGTAAAACTGCTCCGTGGTATTAATCCCCGTGGGGCCAAAACTGGCCCCTTCGTCTGTATTGGTGCCTGCGAGGATGGGCACTTTGATGAACTCATGTTGGTCCAGCTGGACGCTTCCCCGGCCCCTTATAAAATCCTGGTCAGCGACAGGCGAGAAGGAGTACGCTGGGTTGCCGTTAGTGCCGTTGAAAACAGAGTTCAATTCCTCGAATGGAATCTCGCGGAGACATTGCAACGTATTGGCGGCAGAGGAACAACCGACTTTCGCCACAACTTCATCGTACATCGCCTGGTAGCCGGTGTCGTTCATTGGACCGGCTGTTATGGAACCTCCCGATTCCATAATCGCTCCGCGAAAGAGACCGTCATCTCTGCCACCGTATGCGATGAGATGAGCGCCAACAGACATTGCCCCTGCGGACTCTCCCCAGATTGTGACCTTCTCTGGATCGCCACCAAAGGCCCGGATGTTTTCTTTGATCCACTGTAGCGCCAATCTCTGGTCCCGAAGACCGAGGTTGGTGTTTCCGCTACTGGCGACTTCACTGGAGCTCAAGAAGCCCCACGCAGAGAGGCGATAATTCAAGGTCACGGCGATGAAAGGTTTGCCTGCATAGCTCAGTATATACTCGACGACTCGGCCAAAAGCAACTCACCAATCTCGTACGAGTTTGCCACAATAGCAGACATGTTATACCGCTCATCTGATCCCGAACCCATATAGAATCCACCACCGTGGATCCAAACACCCACGGGGAGATTGGAGCCCTCAGTCGCGGATGACCCTCGGACCACGTTCAAGGTAAGACAAGCTTCAGACATCGGATACCAGATTGAATCTGTCTATATTCCTTATTAGTTTGCCGATCTTGAGGTCGTGAGCAGACATATCGCGTTAAGACATCACTTACACCATACCCCACACAGATATTAGAGTACTCCTTGGCAACGTGCACTCCATCCCAGCTTTCATTCAACGACTGAGGTACCGTAAACCGCAGGTTGCCGATTGGCTGCTGCGCATATGGCATACCTAGAAAAAAGTCCTGCTGGTAGTGGTCGTTCCTTACCCCGACATATGTCCCATTGCGTACGTGGGCTGTTGGGCCTGGTATATTGCTCGGAGCAGCATTGCTAGCGACCCACAGTACCGAGAGACAGATAATTGTCTTGAGCATCTTGTACCGCCCTCAAATGAAAAAGAACCTACACGACTGTGCCAACTCGCACATCCTGCAACGCCCAACCCGCGCTCTTTATATGCAAGGTCATCAGTTGCGGGGTATACAGCCCCGTATGGGACTATCCCTATGCTCTCGGGACTTGAGTCGGGACTTGAGAGACAAGGATGAAAGAGTTGGGGCCCGAATTCATCATACAATGGCATGTTAGTAGGGTAGAGTTTTATGACGCAGTGGGATCCGGAGTTTCTGGGGTTAAGGAATTGCGGGGTTGAGTTTCGGCATCAATGAATGGCCAACCGGTTAAAGAGAATTTCCCCTTAGGGGGAAGATTGTCGGCCACCAACGAGGTTGTGGAGGGACAATTCGTGGGGCTTCCGGGGGTGGGATTGCTTATAGTGCTAAGTGGACGCGGTTGAACTTTGACTGATGAATGTCCCGAAGATTTGCCGGTGATGCCAGAGGTCTCCTCTTGTTGGATATGACTTGAAGGGCTATGGAGCTGATTGTCCGTCTTCCTTTTGCATTCTGCTAGGTAGCTGACTTGATTAATTGCGTGCTTGACTATGTAGGGTTCCGATCTTCCATGTCTGACATGGAAGATTGAACGGGAGGATATTATCCTAGTCCACAGTAGGATTCGCCTTAGATACGCTGTAAAGAAGAATGGCTGGTTGTAAGCTGTATGTGGGGGTTTGAACTAAGCTGACTGAACTGTTCTCAGGCTACACGTGGATGGCATCTCGTCAGGTTTAACACATAATCTTGATAGCTTTCCTGAGCGTCTTTCAGCCTTACTCAGACAGTTCGTATACTGTAAATGCGCAAGACATGAACTATCTATGTTTCTACGCCTAAGACAAGGTGACATATTTTAAATGAAACAGTCCGTCACATGGAGAACCCCTGACCAGTATTGCTTTGTCGTACAAGATTCAGTAGCAGGAACTGCCCATTCTACAAAGAGTTCAAAGCCAGAGGTTTCAAAGAGTATTATGTTCGACTCCGGTTATAGATCCTCGTTTTCTGGGCATGCGTGTGGCATACCCGGCTAGCTAGCCTACTTGGATCTACACGGGACCCTCATGTGGCTCCAACATGCATTGGCTGTGACAGCTGCCCCGGTGAAGCAGAGTCGTACTAATCTTAGCGTCGTGGCACTCCTGACGAGCTGGCTAAAGGTTTGCTTGAAAATCTGACTCTTCACATCAGGGTGGCAACCGGTCCCTTCGAGCAAGGCGATTTTCTCCACTACTCCACGCTTTTGAGTATAGTATAAGTGCAAGAAGGCATAGTATATGTGTCTTCAGTGATTAAACTCCTTTCATCGCACGGACAATTTGCCTGTGTATCGCGGTGGTCAAGCAACACGCATCCAGCCGAAGCACCCCAAAGCCATTACCCTGAGAATTGCAGATTCACTATGCGATTGTCGACTTTCCAAAGCCTCGAGAACCGAGATGGCAAGAGGATACGATCATCGTGTACTTACCCTCGCGTCATATATTCATTGTTTAGCCGTATCTGCAAAATGTGGTGGATATTGTTATCACCTGAGCCTCTTCCCATGACAACAACCTCTTCACCACCTCTATCATCTGAGGAAGAAGCCATCGTCGCTGTCGCCCACGGCTTCCTTGCAGCATTGAATGCGAAGTCGTCGGCCGATTTCGAGAAATACTGCATCAGAGCAGGAGGAATGTCACTTTGGCCACCGTCGCCTATGGTACCCCGTTTCTGTACAATTGGCGTCTTTGTGGAGCAGATCGCAAACGTACAGGACGAGATCGATGAGCAGATCTGGGATCCTGAGGTGAAAGTATACGAATCAGGTAATATGGCCGCAGTGTGGGCGCCGTTCAGATCAAAGATCAATGGCGTTGTGAACCATGTGGGCGTCGAACTTTTCGTGCTTCATAAACTCAACGGAGAATGGAAGGTAACTGGGTTAGCTGACTCATGTCGATGGCCGACTGAAGAGGAAAAATATTCGTTGCTATAAGCAATACACTTGTTGTCCAGTCTTGCCCGTGGTTATGCATTAGACTGTCAGATGAGGGTTGTAGGGAACCAAATGAAGGGTTAATGATAGGGCTAGATGCAACGTGGACACGATAAACAAAAAAAACTCTTAGCCATGAGGGAGGATATCGGGAGCAACAGTCCTATCTACTATCTGGATTAAAATACCATATCTATGGAGAGCCAAACTTTTCGCCATCTTACTTCTTGCCTCTAAGAAGCTCCCATCCAACACTCCCGTTCTTTCCTTCTTTTACAGACATCTCCTCAACTGCCTTCACAAGGTCGTAGCAAATTTCTTCGGAGACGACGCTATCATGCTTATACGCAGGATGTGAAGCAACATATTCACGGATCCACCGCGCCCCAGTCCAGAGGGTTCCGTTTGCCCGTTTCCGAATGAGATCGAGGTAGGTTGCCAGAAAGCAGCGCGTTTCAACGTCCACATTGACACTGTTCAAGTACGATTCAACAAGTGGGATCAATCCGGGGAATGACCCGTCAGCAGAACCGTTGATGATATCTGAGATAGTCATAAGCTCATATTCCGACTCCACTGGTTTGAGTGGAGGTGACGGGGGTGGCGTATTAACGGCGGATGACGTGGCAGACGACACTTCACTATTAGTAGAAGACTGTGGGTGCGGTCTGCGTGCGCGAGGAGAGAATGGGTCCTTGCGGAAGTAAAACTTTCGGTCCAAAACTGCATTTCGCGCATGGGCCGTTTCCATATTTTCGGTCGTCCGTTGGATGGGAATATAGAAATTCAAGTCGAAGCTCAGAATCGCACGGGTGACGAGCACGATAAATATGCTAAATGCCGCATTTTCGAAATCGGTCATTTGAATTTCCATTGAGCGGAACTCGACTCGCCAGCCAATGTCATCTTTTTCCGGCGGGGGTGGCTTGAAGCGCATGTGTTGCCAATTCGTCGATTGCAAGTTCTCGAAATGGTCTGCTTTGTTTAGGTCCAGTTCTTCCAGGTCTTCTGAGAAGATAACCAGTGGGTCGCGTATGAAGAGATGCGCAAAGTGTGTGGCCAAAAGTTCATCCATACCACCATCACACAAGCGCTTCTTGATATCTTCGTCCACGATCAGATCAGGATCCAAGTACTCCTTCCGCAGCCTAGGGTCCTGGGAAAGATAGGTCGAGTTTGAGGCGTATCTAGATTTGGGAATTCGCCACCGATCGTTTTTCAGGGGCTATTTAGTATGTTAGCTTTAGACCGGCAATCAATAGAGGGACAACTCACAGCTTCACCAAGTTCTTCACGAGTCCTGTCATCTACAGCGTTACCGATCTGGTTCCACCGAACGTCAGTGTCGACAAGGAAGCCCTTGTATATGGGGGTTGCAGCCGTAAGGGCAAGAAGGATGGGTCCCAGCGGGCTTAGTTGGTCGTATAGCTTTCTCCCCTCCGTCATATTCTTTGCCTGGAACGTAATCTGGAGACAGCAACTTCCCATACCAAATGCCATGGCGTCCATATAGACATGTCCTTCCTTAGCTGCTCCATTTCTGACATCCTCGTCTTCAGGCCAGTTGTGGAGGTCATAATTCACCGTTGGGTCATTGAAAGGTTCGGGGGTGTTTGTGTCTCTGAAGACCGGCACATTCAGCTCGACCTTTCGGCCCCGTCTCGATCTTATATTACCAGCAAGCGTTGGAAACCTAATATGGGGATTCGCGATCTCGTCAGGAACAAACTGAGATCGGAGTGCGGCTCCAGATGGTGGATAGTATGGTTGAATGTAGTCATCTTTCGTTCCCAAGCGAGGGAATGTGGTAAGAGTAATGGGATATTCATTTGGTGCCATGTGAGACTTGGCAACCTCTCGCCTAAGGGACCAGGTTAAGCTCGGATAGTGATTTTGGGCCGGAAAAAACCCACCTCCATTTCATGTTTGACTCTACCTTCAATAGATCCTTGAAGCCAATCCCCCATGGCCGCCCCGGAGTAGCCTCCAGCATGAAGCGGCCAAATTCCGGATGGAAATGGGGTGGGTCCTCCCCATCGCTAGGCGTCATCAGAAAGGTTCCTCGAAATTGATATAGAAGACCAGTTTGCCTTACTGCTCCTTGTTCTGTATACTGTTTGACCCTCCAGACTTCCAATTGGCTTCGTCCTCAGCCAGGGACTTGAGAATCTCGGCCTGAGCGAGAGATAACCGGGCCTTTTTTGCCTCGTCATCAACGGCAACGACGAGGTACTCGACCTAAGCATGAGTGGATTAGTCAGTTTTGAGCGCTATGGTTTTGTTGACATAGGAATCTCACCTCGTCACCCCAAAGAAGAGCGTCGCGCTCTTTCCCCTTCGCTCGGCGCCAATTGGCGAGCAATTGCTGATGCCCGTTAGGTGAACTTCAGTTCAGGAATCGCTAGAGAGCAGAAATAGAAGGCAGATATGTACCTCAATACCCCATTTCCGCACCTGATCCGCTCGCTTCTTCGCCTCTGGCCAATCGAGGGCGGTTCCTAGTGCTCTAGAAGGACATTTAATGTTAAGTCGGGGTTAAGCCGCACAATATGCTTGGTAAGAATCGCGACGTACAGCAAACCCATATTGTCATAACCACTTCCGAAAAACCAGTGTGTAAGGATTGAATTATAAGAGAGTTTTCCGTATTAAGACAGAATTCCGGATCACACGATCTGTAAGCCCCGCAGAGATGAGGGGAGGTTTTCGTGGCAGACGATGCGCCAGAGTCCACACGCTGGAGGCAACCGGCCGAATGAAATAATACAATGCCAGGAAGAGCTGACACCTCAGAGTACTATACGTACAGCATGAAAAACCGTAGAGACAGACGATGGAAGGAAAGGGAAAAAAGTCATAGTCGGATTGGTATTGTCGCCTTTATGCTGATTTTCCCGGCGGCGTCTCGGAGACGGTAATTGTTATCGGTGATTGGGTAAAGCAATGAACTTTTGCCAATAGTGGGGGGCATCTTTTGGTCCCTAAGCGGGGCATCGAGTGCCATTATCGCTGATAACGCCGTTAACGCTGCGGAATTCACGAGAAAATCAATGCATTGATTTCTAAGCAGCGTCCTCAACTGCATGGTCATGTGATTACATCGCGAATGAGTTCATGGATCATTCGCAACATTCTCTGTAAATATACAGGTGCAAGGCAAACTAATGTTCACAAACTTTTCAAGGCAACCGACGCTATAAAGTATATATTACAGCTGACCGATCGTCGAAGCAAGCCGTAACGCCATATATTTCGTGTTCCACAAATCACCAAGGAACCAAGCAATATACTTGACAATAGGTACTTTAGAAGCCTTATACTTCATCTGCCGTAAGCTACAAGTGCCGGATCTCGATATATCAAGGACACCAGTGTCGCATGGTGATCCTTGCTGAAATCACCATGCCAATAAATCATTCTTGTTCATACTCCACACCTTAGATGTCACTGCCATTTACGACTAGTAGCTGACAATCTTAGGAATATATCGACCTTAGTACGCCATGGGGACTGGAATGATTTAACCAGCATTGATTACTACCTAGGCAGTAATACGATCTCAAATTATGTAAGGCTGGACCAGCGGACAAATTCAATGATTCGCTTGCGCATTCCCGAAGCGATCTCATACATAGAAATCGTTCAGAGGGATGGAAGCACCTGGTCCGCATCACACCGAGAGGTGACCGTTTCACGAATTACAGGCAAGATGCTAGCCTCGTGAGTCCGAAATACAACAGGTTAGTATCGGCAAGCTTATTCTCAATCCGAACGCCAAAGTCGGTGCATGATCAATCAATCTCAGAACTTTATGTACATAACCAGCTGCTTCGTCCATATCAAATGCATAAGCCGATGTGTTTGGTATCAATTGCTTCGGGCACCGTTCTTAGCGGCTCGCAGCTCATCCATCTTGGCTACGCGCTTCTTGAATTCTTCATATTGGCACTTCTCGTAGCTGTGTCTCTCATCCTAGAATAAAAATTAGATATTAGTTATATCCGTCTAATATCAAACCATGGCTACGCAGGTTGCGGAGACGGAATACAATGACATACCTCGCACTTCCAAGGAAGGTAGTACTCCTGCTGCCGGCATCGGTTCAATGGGATGAGAAGGTGTCCACAAGAGTCGCGGTACTGAATAGGCAGGCGAGCATCGGACATCTCCTGGCGGGTGGCTAAAATGGAACGTCAATACTCGGCTCAGTCAATGGCAAGATATTGATCTTGCTCTTGAGCGCGGGGGCCAATGGCATTGAAATCGTACCGGGGGTATCCGCCAGTCCAACGGCACTCTTAACCGACTCGGCAACAGTCATTTTGGTATGAGAAAGCGGCGTAGAATGGGGTCCTTTTGAAGATAGGCGACGGAGCAGCGAGGTTTGCAGCTATCCCGAAGTGCTGTTCCTTCCGGATATGGTCATGTGATATCACGTGTATTCTATCCCGCAATGGGAATAGTGGACCCAATTCCACTTTACGCGGTTCTGCCGACCGGAGCGCGTCTTCTTGAGCAACCCACCGCGTTTTTGGGATGTCACTGTGCCTAGGACGAGCCACCAGTGGCTGATACGGTATCTTTGTAACTTCAATATACGTTGTGTGTGATGTTTCGCATTCAAGGCTTGTGTATTATACTTTACACCTGAGAGAAGGTGAATTTGGACCATTGAATTCCCTGTTAAAAGTGACCGCATCGCATCTTCCTTCAATTGTCCGGGAATCACCTAGATCGAGTCGGCTTTCGGAGAGACGCACATCATGGCGGGGGTGGATTTTTCACAAATTTACTCTGCTACGTATAGCAGCGTGAGTTTCCTCTTTCTTTCTGTGCCTTCACTCTTTCCGTCAATTCACCTTGAAAACCCCCGATCGCTTAAATGGTGTATCTAATATCTCTGATCAGGTTCCGGTCTACGAGTTCAAACTCGATAGCGACAGCGTTATGCGAAGGCGGGGTGATGATTGGATCAATGCTACACATATCCTCAAAGTAGCTGGGTTTGACAAGCCAGCGCGAACACGTATACTCGAACGTGAGGTGCAGAAAGGAGTCCACGAAAAAGTACAGGGTGGGTATGGTAAATATCAAGGTAGGGAAAGTCCACTGTGGTAAAACGCTCACAATGCTCAGTCGTGCTAAGGATCGAGATAGGGACATGGATTCCACTTCCTGAAGGCCGGATGCTCGCTGAGCGCAACAATATCATTGATAAGCTAAGACCAATTTTCGACTACGTGGCTGGGGATCGTAGTCCGCCACCTGCTCCAAAACATACATCTGCCGCGTCGAAACCGAGAGCTCAGAAAAATGCGGCCGCTAATCGGAGGGTTGTACAGGAGGAGGTTTTCAGTGCAGTTAAGCCGCATCGCAACATGGGGCCACCCAGCTTCACTCATGAGCAATATGAGATGAACCCTGGGTTCGATGAAGATGAATCAATTGAACAAGCAACCCTCGAATCTTCCTCCATGGTCGCAGATGAGGAGATGATGCATATCACCCAGAATGGCAACTTTTCGCGAAAGCGCAAACGTGGCATGAATGAGGTAACTGCGATGTCAATAAGCGAACAGGAACATATACTCTATGGCGACCAGCTCTTGGACTACTTCATGACAGTTGGAGATGCTCCAGAAGCAACGCGAATTCCTCCCCCGGAACCGCCAACCAACTTTCAGGTGGACCGTCCAATAGACGATTCAGGGAACACTGCTCTCCATTGGGCCTGTGCGATGGGTGATCTGGAGATAGTAAAAGATTTGCTGCGGAGGGGAGCAGATGTGAAGACACTCTCAGTACATGAAGAAACTCCGCTTGTGCGTGCTGTTCTATTTACGAACAACTATGAAAAGAGGACATTTCCGCCGCTCCTGGATTTACTCCTGGACACAGTGTCGTTCCGAGACTGGTTCGGTGCCACCATATTCCATCACATAGCAGAAACCACCCGAAGCAAAGGGAAGTGGAAGAGCTCTCGGTACTATTGTGAAGTGCTGCTTGACAAACTACGTGCTACTTGTACGCCAGATGAAATCGATGTTTTGTTATCCTTCCAAGACTCCAATGGAGACACGGCAGCTTTGGTTGCTGCTCGAAATGGTGCATTTCGCTTGGTTCATCTGCTCCTCACACACTGCTCGCGAGCTGGAGACTTGGTAAATAAGAAGGGCGAAACAGCTGCCAGGATCACTCAGCGAGCGAATCAGTCTGACCGACATATCCCGCCGCCGCCTTCCTCTATCACGATGGGTAATGACCACATCGATGGGGAAGTTGCTGGCCCGATTAACGCCGATCACCAATCCGTTGCGCCACCGCAAGAATCCTCCCCCTCCACATCTGCACTCCTTACTAAGATTGGAGTAATCATGGCTGAAGCGAACAAGAAACTCGCAGTTGGGTACGGGAGCTCAAAGGCCAATCAACCGGATCCAGACGACGTTGCCAATCCAGAGGCTCTATACGAACAGCTAGAGTTGGATCGGCAAAAGATTCAACAACAAACAGCCGACTTGGCGGCGAAGGAGGCCAAAGAAGAACATGTCAATGCGCAGTTCGAACGTTACGAACAGCTGAGGAGTCGCTACGAATCGCTACTGGAACAGATTCAACAAGCCCGCTTACGGGAGCGGATCGCATCATCAATATTACCCACTAACGAGGACCCGAACCCGCCCTCGACTAACCAGAACCAGTTGCTTACCGTCTATCAGCTAGCCCGACGACTGTGTTCGGCGCAAAAAGCACGGCGTGCCGCCGTCAAAGATCTCGCTCAACAAACGGCAGATGCGGGTGTTAGCACCAAGTTTGACGTTCATCGGAAGCTCGTGTCACTCGCTACAGGCCTGAAAGAAGAGGAACTAGACCCTATGGCTGCTGAACTGGTAGAGACCTTGGAGTTTGACCGAATGAACGGAAAAGGTGCAGGGGGCGAGTCCCCCGAGCCAGAGCCCCAGGGGTCAGCGACTTTTCCTCTCCCTGGACCTCCTGTGTCTGTTGATGCTTAGAACGTACGGAATGATTCCTGGTTCTCAGCATTCATCCCGATTTTGTTGTGAGCGTATCGATTTCTGCTTTGCTAGATCTACCAAGGGCTGGATATGATGTTTCACGCAATTTTTAATCCCGCAGAGAATTACGTTTCTCCAAGGTCTCTGCGATGTGTTATTTTTGACCTAGATGGACATGCTGTTCCTTACGATTTCGTTTTCTTTTTCCTTTTTTTTTTCTTTGGTCATAATTAGCTTCTGGTAGGGACTGAGAAATTATGTTCTGCCAGCAGATACCCAATTGTTATTTTCTTTGGAGACATCCGATGTGTTTCTTGAGTTTGTCGGCACTATCAGTGTGTACTTACTGTTCTGACATGGCACGGTAACAGGCCAAGAACAAGACAGGAAGAATCTAGCTGATGGTAGGGCAGGTGGGATTACCGTATGGATAGATGATGTACAAACAGACATAGATAAAATTCAATGTCATGGTATCATTATGTACAAACGATAGTGGAGTAGAATGGAACATGCATTGAACTCGCATAACCCCACTTCTAGGATTGTCTGGTGACTGGAACCAAATCAACCATCAATAGCTGGGTATCCAAATCCGTAGGTCAAAGACATGCTGATGAGCATGGCATTTCTTCCATGCAGACCTAGGTGCATGAGCACAGATACTCCCGTGCTACCTCCATCCTACTACTAGTAGTATTCTCCCAAACCAATTGGTTCGATCTGAAAATTGGTCCATAGCGCAATACGGAACCGAACTGGTGGTAGGAGGGGGAAACACCAGGCCAGTCAGGGGAAGGAGAAGAGGGGAATCAGTCTACGATGGTAGCGGTTGGCTGGCGGCGAAGAGAGGCCACGTTGGATGGCACTAAGCCGGATGATCCCAAGGATAAGTGGGTAAGAAGCTCGGGGACGAACCAATGGGGATTGGGGCATGGGGTGCATATTGGCGTCACTGTCAGGCTGCAGAGGCAAGTCTGGGGGCGGATTGGCTGGCCATAGCGGCTGATGCGCTGTCTCTGTTCCATGATAGTGGATTGACGGGCAATGGGATTAATTAAACCAGGGACTGCACTAGTAGGGAACTTGGGTAGGTATGAGTCTATGAGAATCAGAGAATCTTTGATCTACCTCACTAACTACTACTAGTATCTATCGTTCCATACTTTTGCATTGTAATTTAATGCTGCCACGAAGTAAAAAAGGTTTAGGTTTTAACTCTACTACGGTATATCTCACATTCATAAAGACCCTGACCTCTAAATAAAGAAAGCATCCATGGGGCCAGATGGAGAACCTGAGGACTATCACAATTTCCCCCGATCTATTGGCTACTATTTCAGGCACCACCTCAGAACGGCTAACCCCAAATGAGATCACCCAACAATGGCTATCAAAAAATCACCCACTCGAAGAATCACCACTTCCCCGTGGCTAACCCCGTTCAGGACTAGTCGTTCTTCAAGCGAACCAGTCAGAATACAAGTGTCAGAAGTGGCCAACCAGTCAGTGTCTCAGCGCCTGCGATCATGATGCTGATTTTACAGGTCTTGTATTATTAGCACCTTAATTCTTCTGCGTCTTACAGTATTAGAAAGTATTAGTAGCAAAAACAATAGGAGGATTGTTTCCCTCTCTCTCTCTCTCGCTTCTTTTCTTCTTCCTTTCTCTTACTCACCCACTCTTTCATTTCCTCCCCCTCCTGTTCTCTCTCTGAATCGGCTTTCTTCCATCCTCTCCAGTCTCATCTTCACTTCTTCTCTTCCCCCTTTTTGTGTTGCTTCAACCAACCTAATTTCCCTTATCATCGTTGTCTTCTTTTCCACCTACAGTCCTTTTCATTTCGTTTCGGACTTCTTCGCTTGTCAATCCTGAAAATTTTTATATAATCCACAGAAAGTGAATTGGAAGTTGTTTGGGGCCCTTTGGCTTGACTATTGACGGCCAAAGCGGATACGAAGGAAAAAGCGCGAAGAAAAAAAAAAGAAAAAGAAAAAAGAAAACGACCCAACACGCGCCAACAGCCGAACGGACCAATTCATCAGTGCACTACCCTATCATCGCCGTCTCTCTTCCTTTCTCTCTTCTTTCCCTCTCCACGATTTACTGGATACTTTGGAGGATCAGGAAAAAAAGAAAAAGGCAAAAAAACGCCAGAGAAAATAGAAAAGAAAAAGAAAGCCTGAGAGCAAGAAAGAGAGAGAGAATAAATAAAATTTCATTCGACGATCCCTTACTTCGTCACTTGAGCGGCTCTGTTCTCATTTTCCGTTGTTTGTTCTCCTCAACGGTCAAATCTTCGAGTCTCTCCTCCTTTTCCACTTTTCGTGTTCAAGCATCCTTTCGGTCGGGAGCTGCAGAGCATCTCCCACCCATTTTTTTTATCATCGTCTTTAATTACAGAGACCTTCATTTCCCTTGTCTCTTCTCGACTTTCTTGCCTCGGTTCCTGACGTCCGGTCGCGTCTGTCGTCCATCACTTCCACCATCGAATCTCCTTTTGGCAGCTGCAACTCTGCCCTGACCTACAGGTCGATCGTTCCCTGTACACCTGGTTATTAATCATTCTTTGTCTTTTCTAGCTCTCTCTTTGCGACTCCATTCATTCTCATCGCATATTTCTCAGGTATGTCGATTTTCATGTTGATGGCCTCTACGACCTTGCTGACACCGGCCAAGTCTAGGATTCCCGACCGCAGTCTCAACGTTTTGCATAATAGACCCGATCTCTGGTGTCAGAACGATCCTCGAGTGTTTCATTCTTACCATCGCCTCATTGTAATAATTTAATATACAGGCTTTCCGTTTGGTCGACTACATAGTGCCTTCGGTTCACTACGGCTCTTTGATTCTTACCCGTTGCACATACTACCCTCGAGACTTTCTTCCTTTATACTAGTTACGAGTATGGACACTGGCGGTCTTGCTCAGATGACTTACAATCCGTCTTTCAATAACGGAAGCTCGCTTGGGGCCCCGAGTTCCGGTTTCGGGTCTCGGAGAAAGGGCCCTAATGTGAAGCGTTTGAGTGTGCCACCTCCACACATCTCCACCATCGATGAATCCCAGCCCTCGGCTCCCATTCCCACTCCGCGCACCAGCCGTTCGCATCTTTTGGCAGGTTTAAGGACGGCTCCAAAATCTGCCACCGTCCCCTCAGCTTCCGCCCGCCAACAGCACCTGGGCGTGGAGGGTGATCGATATGGGAATCTTTCAAACCGCACTTCTGATCGTGTTCCACAAACTGCCATGGGAACTGGCTTCCCTCGACACTCAATGGCCCTCAATCAGGGTCTGGACATGAACACCGGTCGCCCCGTGTACACTCTGCCGGAGCAGGTGCTCGCACCTCCGGCTATTGACATCGCCGGCGATATGCCAATCGACGAGAGTCTATACGCGGAATTGATGTCCACAAACCTTTTCCTGGCGGCCCAACAACAGCGCCTACAGCAACAACTGATTAGCGTCACCGCAGCGGCCCAGCAGTTCCAGGGCCTCAACCTGGGGGTGCCGATGAACCAGCAGCAGGAATACCCTTCTCTCGCCGTTCCGGGAATGGGCTTCTATCAGCAACAGCTCCAGCAAGGTGTGCAGCCTGTTGTACAGCCAGTGCCAGGCCAACCGGGGCTGTTCTCCGTCTACAACCCCCTCACTGGTCAACAAAATTACATTTACGACAATTCCTGCCAGCAAGATAGTTCTTCACCTTACCAGGAAGAGGAGACGCAACCTCCTGCCATGCAGGTGCCAGAATTCCGAGCTGAAGTTTCCCCTCCCCCGGAGACGAAACAATTATCGCAGCCGGCCTCTCCTCCAAGTGATAGTCCTTCTCCTCCCCAGGAAGCTGCTCCTTTGCCTCCTCCCTCCGTCAATGCATTCCGCAGAGGTCACAAGAAGAGCTCGTCGTTTAACCCTGCTAGATTCTCCATTGACACGGCCAAGGCAAACTCAAGCATAGCTCCTGCCGCTCCCAAAACCGCTGCCCTTTCTCAGACGCCGGCGACTGGAACTTTTGGGCCTGGCCAGAACCGTGCTGGAGAGCACCCGATCCGGCAACCCAGGGGTCCACCCTCTTTGGAAGAACTAGTTGCGAAGCCCACATCGAACCATGAAGGAAGCAAGAACTTCGCAACCCGTCAGCGCCGTCGCGCCGTTCACAACCTTGTGCGTGCAGGCCTTGAACGACGCGGAGATAGCCGCAGCTTCGGATGCCATAGTAGCGGTGGCACCAACACCCCGGCGAGTGAGAAGGAATTCACATTCTCCGACGGTGATGATGCTACCGTTCGCAGTGGCAGTCTCTCGAGCAAACCCAGTTTGGGAAGCCTTCGTGCCGCAGCCAATGGCGCCATTGGGTCTGAGAGGAAGGAGAGATCTTCTCGGGAACGGCGGTCGCAGGATAGCCCGTACACGACCACGCCGATCAGCGAGGACGGTGGCTTCTTTGGCGGAAAATTGGCGGATGTTCGTACGGATCCAGTTTCTTCGCCCGTGGGAACACCTTCGGTGGCTGCTGTCGTCGCTGGCCAGAAGACAGCAGTGCAGGGTCCAGAAAGGCGCAAGACCCCGATGCTTGTGCTCTCTAGCGCCGAAAAGCGCAAGACCCCGATCATGTAACGCGAACATCGTACATAATGTGACTGAGACGTAACGGATGTGCACACTTGGATGATTACTTTTTGCGCTTGTTTTCTTGTCTTTTTCTAAACGCCTCATTTTACTCTTTTGTTGTACTTGGACAGCGGGCCAGAGCTTCTCTCCTGTTCCAAATGGATACTCTCATGTGATAGTCGAAATTGTCTCTAATGTTGCTTTTCCTATGTGGTTGGACACACATAAGCGGCCTTCCGCAACATCAGCCTTGGATGATGAAGTTCTTCCTTTCTTATTACCTTCTTTCTTTCTGAGATTTCTTTACTCTCCAACCTCTGTTTACGTTCTTGTCCACTCCTTACAACTGCCGAATGCGCTGATGAAAACGGGAAAATCAATTCTACGTTATGTAGTGGGTTTCGTGACCTGGCTGCTCCTGTTGCTGCCACAGGGGGTTCTATTTTGGTCGGACTGAGTCGATCATCTTGCGCCCAGGGCGATTCCAAGTTTCATTCTTTCGGTGTACATCATCTGGCCATGTATGTACAAGCGTTAGTTTTATTAGTTCTCAATACTGAACGACATCAGTACAGCTTATGGAGAAACGGCCAGTCCAGCTCCCGTAGAAATCGTAGCATCTTGTGTGTTTTTTCTTTAAGTGACAATAATTGACAGGCCAGTATGTCATACACGTCAATGACATGCATGTAATCATATAATGGGAAAGGACCCGATCACCTTGATCTTGTAGAAACAGACACCATCCTTTAATGCTGCATGAGCCTGTATGACTTGCATGAGCAGCAAGGATTTTAAGCGGCGGCCCAGGCCGATATGCATCAAAGCTCTTCTCCACCACCAGTCATTGATTGGCCCCTTGGCCGGACGTTGCAGTCTTGGGTCTGTACACGAAGTGTCATAGTAACTGGTAAATGACACGCTATCGTGATATTCACAAAAGCACGCAATTTTCTTTCAATATGAGGATTTCCTCAACGAGGAAATTGAATGAAGAGAGGGGGGGCATAAAGCATTTTATATCTATTATGGCGCGGAACATGCTTCTTGCACAGATCCTTCTCTTCAGTTTGACGAGCTGTCAACGAGACTACCCAACGCCATGGCCGAACAACCATCATCGCATTCGGTTTCATCCACCGATATAGCGGTAGAAAATAAAGAGAAGCGGATATGGTATCACTCGACGCTCTTCAATGCCTTTGTCATCGGTGGAGTGGGCTTTATGGCGCCCGGCTTGTGGAATGCGATGAATTCCTTGGGTGCTGGTGGCGCGCAGTCGCCGTTCTTGATCAATGCTGCCAATGCGTTGGTTTTTGGCCTTAGTATGCTGATAATTCAGGATCGGGTGTTGTATTGGCTTGCGGTGCTGATCTCTACCGCTTCTTACAGTGGGTTTTCTGTGTCTCTTCGGCGGTCCGGTTGCGAACCGCATCGGGTTGAATTGGACCCTGCTTTTGGGTGCGGTTGGATATCCGATTTACTCGTACGTATATTCTCATACATCTCGCTTTTGAGGATTATTAGATTTGGACTAACAAGCGACGGTACAGTGCCGCATTATATACGAATAACCGCTATGTACGTGCCAGACTTTGGGGTGTTCGTGGCGGGATGCTAATTACAAGTGTAGGGCAACGTTTGGTTTGTGCTTGTTGGAGCGGTAGCCTGTGGTTTGTCGTAAGTATGAGAAATCCGGTCGACAGCTATCCATTCTCTTACGCAACAACCAGGGCGGGTCTTTTCTGGGCTTCTGAGGGTGCTGTGGCATTGGGATATCCGGAGCCAACAAAGCGGGGCAGATATATGAAGTGAGTCGATCTAGGTATGATAACTTGGCTTGATGGGCAATATCATTGACTGTGAACAGTATCTGGCTTTGGTTTCGCACCGGTGGACCTTTGCTAGGCGGCGCAATTGTTCTCGGGCTCAACCAGTAAGTGTCTTGGGAGATAAAGATATGTTGAGATATTCTGCTCACTCAGTTACAGTTCTGCTGAAGCGAAGAGCAAAGGAAAGGTTGACTCACGTAAGTCTAGCCGAATCTACGTTCCCTGCAAGGATGACTGCTAACAGGTTATGCAGAGACTTATCTCATCTTCGTCGCATTACAGTGCCTCTCCATTCCCCTGGCGATATTTCTCTCGCCACCTGAGAAGGTCCAGCGTAGTGATGGGAGTAAAGTGAGGATTGTTCTGCAGGACTCATGGCGTGCGGAGATGCGGGAGCTTTGGAAGCTTTCTTTTCGAAGAGAAGTCAGTGCTTGTTCTCACTTTCGTCAATAGTCTGGCTAACGCCGATTCAGGTTCTTCTGCTGTTGCCGATCTTCTGGGCGGCGTACTTTAACCAGTATAGTGGAAGTATGGTTTTGCATGTTCTATATTTCTACACATGGAAACACTAACGATCTCTTGGATAGACTTCACGACCTATTACTTCGGTGTCAGAGCCCGTGCTTTGATCGGCTTTGTCAGTATGTCTTTCAAGAATCTGGGTATTAGATACTTCAAGTCCGAGCTATATCTAACATCGGCCAGGCAACTTCGCAAGGTTGTTATCCTCGGGGATGATTAGTCGGTTCCTTGACTATAGAGGAATCACAATCAAAAACCGGGTCACATACAGGTATGACAGTTCGCCATAGGGCATCAATCAGCAACAGGGAGTATACTAACCAGGACTCCAGTTTCTTCTACGTCATCCTCGTACACATCGCCACCTGGGTCTACGCCTGGGTAATACAAGAGAAGTACACTGCGAACCCACCCTCATACGACTGGTCCGACAAGGGCTTCACCGAGGGGCTCTTCGTTATCCTTCTCTGGGGTTAGTATCCTTCAGAATAAATTTTTTTTGCCGCATATCTCGCTAAACTCTATAACATTAGAATTCTCCCAACAAGCACTCCAAAACTGGCTCTACTACCTAGTCTCCACAATGACCGACAACATCTCAGAACTGGGTACGTGAACTCTAGTACTAAAATGGAAACCAAACACTAATAGTACCATCTAGCCCGGTACTCTGGCGTCCTCCGTGGGCAGGAAAGTTTTGCCCAGGCCGTTTCATTCGGCATCAACACGAGAAACTGGTATGGCGGACGAGTTCCCCTTGCTGTGAATACTATTTTGCTTGGTATGTCTCTTCCCATTTCCTTTCCTTGTTCTTGGATCTAGAGACGGGAAAGACTAATCCAAACACTAATCTAGGTCTCGCGGCATTCCCAACCTGGTTGGTTGTTAGGCGCTATGCTCCTATCGAGCATGATCAGCAAGCCACTGTAGGCCAAGATGAAGAACAGGGCCCTGTACGACACTCTGTTGGTACGGACCATGGGGAAAAGAATATAGTGAGGGAAACAGTTGAGGCGAAATAATGGCCCGACTTAGTACTTGACTAGATTATACATGATCTGGGATATGGATATCGCTAGATGTATCTTTCTCAAACAGTATGATAATGAACAAATGAAAGTGACGACACTCTACTCATTATTTCCAGGCGGAGCTGAAAAGGGAGTAAATGTCTGATTAGAGATACAACTCGCTATAGGGAAAAGGCGATTCAACTCCATGCATGGTATTCCAACAATTCCCTACGCTGCGGGCTATATTATAAAGAACTCAATACCTCAGCATGAGGCAAGAAGGGTATATATATCCTTCCTAGTTCTTAGACGTTAAAAAAATACCAAGTGAAATAAACCAAGGTATAAAATAAAAAAAGAAATATTTCTGACTCCGATACGGGGAATCGAACCCCGAGCTGCCGCGGAACTTGCTTTCATGTTTAAGCTGAAAGGCGGCGATGTTAGCCGTTACACCATATCGGATGTTATTGACAATATGTCCGACGTTTTGACGTTATAGCTAAACTATAAAGCTGTATAAGCCCACGCTCTATAACGCTTGTTGAAGATGGGGATGGAACGGCTTCCATGAGATACCATAAAACTAAACCCAAATAGTATCGCCGACGTCAAGACTCTACGATTTAATCCAATCTCATCATCTCAGGTCACAGTGGCAGGCGAGCTTCGGTTCGCAATTGGGATCCTTTAGGCCCTATACCTACCACATAATCACGCTCGTCCTCGCGGTGTCAGAATGACTTGTACACTATATTGCCTAGTTTTCGGCATGAAAATTATATCCGAGTGTGCTCTCACTATTTGGTTGACTATATGGGACTATAACGGATGGTCGCCATGTTTAGACTTAGTTGTGGTGTTTGACTCCCCTTATATATATGCTCAGCTTGTACTTGGGTGCGGGTTACAGCTATTACAACTAGTTTGAACCCTAGGGTGGCACCCTGCTATCCTATAAATAACCTTTCGCGGTGAAGGCTTCCAGGTATCATAGCTACGGTAGCGTCGTCTAGCAGTCAAGATATCCTGGGAGTGTTGGCTTGCTATAATCCGAAGATGCTCCCTTCTGTCATTGCCGGGTAATAATATATAGCCACGAAACACATAGCTCTACAACACAGCACACCCTTTAAGCCTTAGGTATTCCGACTTCTGGCAGATTCGATGACCTTAATACATTACATGCAGTAAAACACCTTAGCGCTGGAACCATGCTGAAAAATATTCCAAGAGAATCATAACACTTAGTCGCTGACGCGAGTAATTAGGGCTCATCAATCATAGCGTGGGATATTTCTTTGGCTTGTTTATGCAAAAAAAAAAGATTATTTTCATCAAATCCGATATGGTGTAACGGCTAACATCGCCGCCTTTCAGCTTAAACATGAAAGCAAGTTCCGCGGCAGCTCGGGGTTCGATTCCCCGTATCGGAGTCAATTTCTTTTTTGCCATTCTTAGTATCCGACAAAGTCTGTGTAATGCAGACAATATATACCTCTTCTTTTTTTTTATTTAACCAACACTCATTAGTTCAATACCACTTTTAGGCGTACTTTCCAGCTCGTTCAATCCGGGTGTCCCAGTGTCAGGGACTCGGAGGCCACTGTTCTTTGCAGCCGCCTTCAACACCTTCTCAGTGATGGATAAACTTTTTTTTTTCTTGTATTTCTTTCTTCTTTTAACATGAGAGGATCTGCATGATTACATGTTATCGGCTATTTAGTTGGTTCACTCCATGCCTGAGCCCAAGTCCTAGGGCTATCTTCTGCCTCCAATACGGAAGACAACGAGTGAAGCAGAGTCCTTCCTTCCTCAGTATGGCCTTCACTCGTGATTAACCACCAAAGGTCATTCAGGTTTCCCAAGACTGCAATACGGGGCATCTAACTCCTTGACATGCTCTTCATCAGTTTACTATAGTGCTCCTATCTTTAAACTAGGGTTGCACAACGAAGACTTTGCCGAGGGCGAACCCTGTCTGACAGGGGATCACATCCAACTGATAAGAGATTGACTTAAACCTCTATCTTGAATATATGCGTCGACCAACGCAATCTAACAACAGAAAGACCAGACCATGCATATGAACTCGATTATTGGACAAAGTCAGGTGACCATAGAGAGCACGGACCATCCACATTTCTGCCCTGGGCTCCGCGAGCTGTATTGCTTGATTTTTGTTGTGAAGGTTTTCATACAAGGAAAATGGCCTCGGCTTGTAACGATGCAGGCGGCCTTAAAGGAACTCTATCTAATCCGGGTAGCTCTGAGCAAAAAGCTCAGGGAGAAGCCTCGGGCGATGCCGTCCTAGTTCAAACACCGGCCAGAGTCAGCGAAGTCGTGTATTCTGCATTTTCAAAAGCGCAGAGGAGATATATCGTCTTTTGTACATCCTGGGCTGGTTTCTTTTCTCCGGTGTCTTCACAGATTTACTACCCGGCCCTAAACACTCTAGCCTATGACCTACATGTCTCAGGTGGCTTGATCAATCTGACTCTCATGAGTTATATGGTACGAGTTCTCTTATCCCTACTGTCTGTTCATGAATAAAAGAACTCACAATAATAAGATTTTCCAAGGGTTATCGCCCATGTTCGTAGGTGACTTTGCAGACAAAGCAGGCCGACGGCCGGCCTACATCGGATGTTTCATCCTGTACATAGCAGCCAATATTGGACTTGCACTACAAAACAACTATGCCGCACTCTTCATTCTCCGTTGTCTACAAAGCGCTGGAATTAGCACCACCATTGCGCTCGGCTCCGGGGTGGTGTCGGATATCGCAACTGCCGCGGAGCGGGGCTCATATATGGGCTTCGTAACTGCCGGCACGCTACTGGGCCCGTCCGTGGGCCCGGTCATCGGAGGCCTTCTGGCGCAGTATCTAGGATGGAGAGCTATATTCTGGTTTCTGACTATATTCGCGGGCACCTTCGCCGTCCAGTTCTTACTCTTCTTCCCCGAAACCGCCCGGAAAATAGTCGGCGACGGTTCGATCGCGCCTCCAACATGGAACCTATCATTGATCAACTGGTATCAGACCAGAACAAGCAGAACAGAAAGACAGGAAGCAAACAACACCCCAGGGGAAAGACATAATAAGATCACCTTCCCCAACCCCCTAAGAACTCTCTCCATCGTCTTCCAAAAAGATACAAGCATAATCCTCCTCTCAAACGCCATCCTTTTCGCCGGCTTCTACGACGTCAGCGCCTCCATCCCCTCAATATACCAAGACCTATACAACCTCAACGACCTCCAAATCGGCCTCTGTTACATCCCCTTCGGCCTCGGCGCCACTATCGCCTCCGTCATCTCAGGCAAAATCCTAGACTACAACTACCGCCGTCTCGCAAAACGACTCGGCGTCCCTCTCCACCACGGCTCCAGGGAGGACCTAAAAGACTTCCCCATCGAAAAAGCCCGTCTGCAACTCGCTTTCCCGCTACTAACCATCGGCAGTCTAACCGTGATTGCATTCGGCTGGGTTCTACACTTCGGCATCCATCTAGCTGCCCCTACCACGATCCTCTTCGTAATGGGACTAGGCTTGACCGGTGCCTTTAATACTGTAAGTACATTGCTTGTGGATCTTTACCCGGGTAACGCGAGTGCCGCGACGGCGTCGAATAATTTTGTTCGCTGTTTGCTGGGAGCTGGTGCCACGGCTTTGATTGATCCTATGTTGAATGCCATGGGGAGGGGATGGTGTTTTACTTTCATTGCGTTTGTTATGTTAGGCACGGCGCCGCTTTTGGGGGTTGTTGTGAGGTTTGGGCCGCGATGGAGGGAGGAGAGGTTGGGGAAGAGTGAAATTTATGGGTCTGGGACGAGGACGGAGAAGTGAAGTAGTAGCGTTTGAGTATAAATTAGCAGTGTGATTAGCATGGATAGATAGACTATATAGATACCTCATTGAATTATACCATTTTTTGCTAGTGATATACAGTGGATGCTAGAGAGCGAGAAAGTGAGAAATAAAAGCTAGAGTGACTAACTAGATATAACATATTCAAAGGTATAGGTAGGATAAGGCAGAACCAGTTTCCAATCGATATTTTAGTATATCTGGATATGCCAATATGACAAAATAACTAACCTTCAAATCGAAATCTTCGTAAGAATCTAGAAACCGAGAGTGATTTTAGATAGGATGAAACGGTAACTTCACGGAAACTCGAAAGGAGTCTGCGACTTTCAAGCCACAGAAAGCTGTACATAATGTATTCTCAAATGATATCACTGCTATAAACATATGCCCAGAAAATGAAGTTAAAAAAAAAAAAAAAAACCAATAGTCATTTTAAGCAGCCACCCACGCCGACCCATTCTATATTTATCATAGCCCCAGGGTAAAAACAGAAACGCAAAAATCAGATACAATCGACCCAAAAGGACATACAAAGAAAAGAAAAAACAATCGCAGTTGCTGAATATCCCGTGTATTGCTTGCTCGCTAAATCCGAACCAATTCAGATCATATCGTGACATCCCAGAATGCAAGAGAAGGGTTTCAATGTGAAGCAAAAGACATGACTAGAGAAAGGAAATGCAAGAGATAGTATTTGACGCCGATATATAAACACAACAGAAGACAAAAGGAATAAAGAATAGAATGAAATAGATAGAGGACACACGCTAAATAACACGACGAACTCGCTTGCTGCGTGACGATGATGCAAATCCATATCAACTAATGAGAGATTGAAAATAGATAAATGACGGAAGCAAAATGCGAACGAAGGGGTATGTATGCATGTAGTTATGTATGCGTGGTGTTTTAAAAGCTGAACAGTCCGCTGCGTTTCTTTCCAAGCGGATACACGACTAATGCAGCGAGGAAAAGACCGACGGTGAAGCCGATTGCGACCTGGACCATGCCGTATCCGATGTCGAAGACGACTCCGTGGAATTGATCGTTGCTTACGGTTGTGGTCATGTTCTTTGCTGCATCCACGAATCCCTGTGTGCCGTTGGAAACGACAGAGTAAGGCGTAATTTTGCTGGTGATTTGCTCTGCCGAGGCGATCCCGGAGATCAGGGATCCACTGGCTGCAAGTCCGGATGGGACGAGAACAAAGATAGCAGGCAGCATCGCGGCAGCTGCGAATCCGTGTCGCAGTCGGCTGTAGAGGTTTCCCATAACGCCGATCACGAAGGCGCCCAACGCGTTGGACACTTGTGTGCTCGAATAGAATCGCTTGGAGCCGAAATAGTTGGTTACATACCCCGCAAAAGCAATGACGATCATCACCGGAATTTGTTTCAGCTTGGCGTGGTTGACAATGGCAAGGCAGATGGTGAAAGGGATGACAAAAGGGAAATGCTGGAGGTATTCGTTGGTGATCGGACTGGCGGGGCATGTGTAATCGGAGGATGCATCGCTATCCAAGAGGCCATATACAGCAGTGCCAATTGTGATACCGAATCCAAGGAACAGGGAGTAGATGATGGCGTAAACCATGCGGACGGAGCCCGCAACGATACTGCGTGATTGTAGCTCCAGGCTAGCGCACAGTACCATGTACCCAGGCAGAATGAGGGCAATTGACGATTGAGCCAAGGCTGAGAAGCAGAAGAGACGTTCGCCGTTGTAGCGAATGCTTCCAAAAGCCCTGGCTAGAAATGACGTCAAGACCGCTGCCGAAATCTCGAAAACATTCGAGTAGAGATAGGACCGAGGGGACAGGACCAGTTGTAGGATACCCAGGAGACATCCCAGCACGAAAGCAATGGGCATGTCGATGGGGCGGGCATTGAAGGCAAAGGGCCCGACGCTGGCGCTGGCGAAGCCATGAATCAAAATCAGGAACCAAACCGGGTACCTGTCCGGTCTCTTCATGATCTCCTCGAGCCGCTGGGTAGCCTCCTCAACGCCGATGACGTCGTGAATCACCTCCTTGTAGATTTGATGAACGTCGGACAGTCGACTCAGGTCAACACCCTGGTGAGAGCGGACCAGCTTTACTTCGGTAGTGTGGGTAGATGCGTCGTCGAAGGAAATAATCATACAGCCCGGCATATACAAGAATTGACCGTCGATCTCGAGAACGCGAGCAGACATCCTCATATACTCCTCCAACCTGTGTGTAGGTGCCCCGTATTTCATCAATGCACGACAAAGCAGGAGTAGATAACGCTGGCGTGAGAGGAGCTCGGCGATGTGAACAGTGATGCGGATTTCATCCTCCAATTGTGGTTTCCCCATCCTCTTAGGCATACCGGGTATGGCACCAATGCTTCGTGAGCGCTTGAGCATGGCGATAGGAGAGCTAGAGGAGTTTTTGGCAGTCGATCCAGACAGAGATATACTGGATTGGTTTGGAGATTTCTCGTACCACTTCCTTGGCCGCTGAGGCTTCCACCCAGGGTCCGGGGACAAGCCTCGCCCACTAAGTCCGGACGAACTGCTTTGACGTGAGTGACCATACCGGCCTCGAGAATAGTTCTGCTGAGAGGGTTGATCATAAAGCTTCAAGAGGGTAGAGAGAATGCCGCCGCGATAATGAGCTGGCCGTTCGACATAGGTGTCGGGATCCCTCTCTTCAAGAGGAGTGATCTGACCAGAGCGGAGGCCGGGAGAGGGAGCGCGGATGCGCGAGAAAAAGTTAAAGTCCTTTCGAGTCATTTGTCGCACTAGCTGATGGGCTTCTGCCGTGCGTGTAGATTGTCGCTTATCTATGAGGTTGTCTTCATCGTCGGAGAAGAAATCGTATTGCTTCTCGGGAAGACTGATCATAGGAATCTCGTCACCATCCTCGGAGGGTAGCGCCACTTCAGTAGGTGTGGACGCTATTGATGACGGCAGACTCGAACGAGGACTTGGCTTCGGAGACTTTGAGGAGCGACCAAGGAGGGATGCGAGCCTCTGAGCTCTCTCTTGGGCGGAGTAGATGGCCCTCCCCTTCTCATAGCTGACCTCATTGTCCCCAGTGACTCCTGGGGAGCTAGCCCGCGAGTGGATCGTTCGGCCGGTGACACCCGTTGGTGAGCTACCGCTGATATCAACCAAGGGAAACGATTGGGGCTCGGCGGATGCTTTCTCCGTCGATGGAATGCTGGCAGTGGGTAAGGGCTTTTGCGGCAATGATGAGCCCCTTCCATCAAACAGGCTCTCTGACGTCGATCCGGAGGAGACCTCGCCAAGCCCATACTCGCTAACAGTAAACTTAACGCGATTGGTGTTCTTGAGAATGCCGGCATTCCGATGCTTGCCCTGAGCTCCGCGCAGGTCCATCGATCGGTCCTGAAGAGCTTCACTATTGGGTGATGGTAGGGAGGATACACGCGGCCCTGCAGAGGATCTGTTTGCCCCATCAGGTACTTCAGTGATGCTTGAGCGCCTCGAGGAGGCGACCGGTAAATCGAAATAACCACCAGCCATTTTGGGTTCTTTACGTGACTCGCCAAACAGGGTCTAAGCAAATTCTTTGGGTCTTTGTGTTACCTTCGTTCTTTCGGCGTCCTATCCTTGATCGTTTGATATCCTCCTGTGAGTTATTATTGCTTTGCTTTCCTTTTCTTTGCTCTATGTCGAGCCAGCGACTAGATTTTTGGTTGAGCGAGCGTGTGGCTGTAGCCTACTGAGACGGTTAGATCAGTACTGGATGGCTAACAAGAAGCTTTGCCAAGAGCCTACCTTCGTGGAATTTTGTGACAGCAAAAGCTCTTAAGCAAGGACAGGATAGCCTCTGTGTAGCGGTACTTTGGACACAACTACCGGGAGGGAATAGTCGGATCGATAGGAAAGAAGGGGTAGAAGTCCCGCCACAAGGAATGATAGTAGTACGTCACGGGGACATGACTCGAAATCTGGGTAGGGCTATGAAAGGTAATCAATCCACTTGGAAGGTATTAAGAGGAAGAAGGATATATATCCGGTCTCCTCTTTTTGCCTGAGTAGGAGGAGACAGAGAAAGGTGTCGTTTGATATAGAGCAGTGGGTGAGAGTCGAAACAGAAAAATGTCGATTGAAAGTGTTCAATCACGGAACGTAAAAGATATTGGATACTGCGCGGTCTGTCGTCAAACCTGTGTTGCAAGACCCTTCAAGGGAAGAATATTAAAAGTATTAAATTTGCAGTAGATTCCTGACGTTAGGGGATGTGAGAGGGATGCTGGAGGAAAGTGGAGTTTTGTATCAAATCGCTGCAGTGTCTTCGCCACGATGATAAATCACCGGCTGGGGGAAGATTTGATATCCAGTGCCAGATTAATCACCGATTAAAATTGCTAGATAGGAAAATCAAAAACAAAAGAAAAGTCCATCCCCCGGCGTTTAAAAGGATCCAATTGTCTAGCCCCGCTTCTAATGGCGTCAATCCTCAGGGGATTTAGTTAAAGTAACAGAATAAACCATGAGAAAATAAAAATTAGCAACAGAGAAACAAGACTCAGTGTGACACCCAACCTCGATGGACTAGAACAACGCTTAGGCATAGTTAGAGTACCTTTTTTTTGCGACGATCTTGGCTGTGACCACGGTCGACAGCATTGGTTCCACGGGGTCCACGATGGTACCACAGGTGGCCAAAGGGGAGGTCACATTTGGTTTTAGATGGAGACTATCAGCTTTAATGGAGAGAATCGAATTGACATTCTTTCATTGTTCTGAATTTTCTCTTGTTTCTGCTATTTTTTTTTGTCATTTTTCGTCCTCCTTTTCTCATGTTTTGTCCTCCTGGAGTATATTTTTGGGGTTCTTGTGTGTGGTTGAGAATATTAAAAAAAAACCTGAGCTGAATTGTCGGCCTGTCCCCACCGGTCGAACAGTCTCGATCATCCTTCTGGAACCTTTAGAGCAGAGAAGATCACTGGATCCATTAGCGTTAGTGGAAGAAGAGGACTAAACACAATACTAATCAGGCCCTCCTTTTCTCATGTTTTTTTTTTTTTTTCCTGGTGGTTTATCTCAAGAGGCAAAAACCGGAAGTGGATCTGAAGGAACAAGTTTATCAAGAGATAGCAGTTGCTTTTTTAGCGCCCGAACCGGACCGCTGACGAGAAACCCAAGGATAAGGAAAGTGACCCACGGAAGGTTCGGTCGGTCTGGACACGGAGTTCTTGTTCGGAAGGCAATAAGGCTGTGCGAATAGAAAGAGACACTGGCATCTCGTGTTTTTTTTTTTTTTTTTTTTCGTTCGGCTACCCGATGTTGGATTCTTGAAGCCGACTACCTCCTGAGAAAGCCGACCGCGTATGCGCCAATGACGAAGCTTAATTAGCTTGACATGCACAACATGGTTGAATTTTCTTTTCTTTTTTTTTTCTCTCCTATCACACCATCGTGATCATCAGCAGGAGATTTTCAAGTTGTGGTGGTGGGGATAAAGAGGTGATAGTCCAGGTGGCAGTTCGGTCTTACGAAGCTCCCTTGAGCTCCATCGTCATCGTCACGTGGCGGTAAAAAAGATCTTTTTTTTTTTTTTTTTTAGAGTACGTAGCAAGATAGTAAGACTGGGAGAGTGATAGGTAACAGTGAGAGATAA